CATATGATAAGATATTAATAAATAAATAAATATACAACCGGATGTGTTCTACCAAATCGCTTTTTTAACTACAGAGACTGTGTAAAGTACACATATTTAATTTATTTTTAAACGAGTGACTTTTCGTGGTGAATTACTTTCCGGTATTTTTATTTTCTAGTTTTGTGCTAACTGATTTGATGTAATGAAAATAGATCACCGGTTACCAGATTGTTAGTTCCTGAATCCACCACATATATTTTTTGTCGTAAGAGTTATACATGGAGGTTTCAATCTAGATGTGCCGGTGCGTGACGTCACATATAAAGAAACGTGAGAGGAAAATGAAAAACGCTGTGCTGAGCGTACGGCATCAGGAACATTAATCCATGTTACACTTATGCTTTGAATGCTGCAACGGAACTAAACTCCGTGTTGTGCTACAGGGCTACTACATCTGCAGGGCATTAACCGCCAACTATAGTAGCCGTCACAAAATTGCACGCTTCAAGGCCACGGAAGGACCTTCACCCCCTGTCCTTACCGCGGTGCTCCAGTACAGCGTTTCTGACTTTGTTACACTGCGAGTCTAACCTGAATTCACTTGCCTGGGCTCCGCTAATCGTGTCACAACGCTGTGTGATTTTGCTGTGACGTTGAAGGATGCAACATAAGTAACCACCACTGGTCGCGACATCAAATGTCATCCGTGCGCCTTGGTGGTAGGTGACGTACAATGCGCATAGGGATAACTTTATATCTTTATCCACCAAGACGAGTCGTGGAATTGTGTAGACGAATGAACTAGGGGGTCAACAAACAGGCTGCTGGTAACTCATTGTGAATAACTATGAGTTGATGTAGTTGAGATAGTGTTCCATGTTAGATGAGTGACAGGTACTTTATGAAGGGAGTAACCGCGCTGTTCGGTACTGGTATGTATTCTTTACAGTAGTAGGACAATACTGCCTTCAGTAGTCATGCCAGGATAAAATAATATATGAATAATTTCACATAGTCATATCCTGTGTGGGGCGAAGGTGGATATAAGATATAAATACATGACACAACTCGTAACGAAATAAATTAAGATAACAGACTGAACAAACGACGGTGAGTTAGTATCACTAGAGTAATAATTCATGTAGTAACTAACAGCCTACAGTAATCACTTTCAGAATCCCCGTAACAGATGCTAGAAATCATGACATCGGACAAGTCTTTTAGCCCAAGCTGACAAGTTGCATTTATCACGTAACTACCACAAGAAATTATAGGTGTTAAAACTGATACCACCTGCAGCACATGAGCAGGTTAAAACCTAAAGATCGAAATAAAAGAAAATATAATCTCAGAGTCACGAAGAAGGCATCCTTAAACGATCTCAATGTTCGATATGATAAAAGCTAACAAATTACATTGTAAATAATTAATAACCGTGTGGTGTTATCTATAGCGACATTATCTTATTAACAATATATTCATACTTGCAATAAACATCAAGATCAACGAGGTATATATTATAAATTAGACAAGTAATCCATTTGGGAAAAAAAATGTGTACTACATCAAAGTAACTGCAGTACATTATTTCACCCTTATTTTACACAAATTTTAACTTTTCTCTGTCAAAATAATCCTAAATTAATAACTTCTATGTCTTTTAAGTCTTTTAATTACTCTATTGAATCGTCTAAGACAGAGGTAGCCATTCTTTTTTCGGGGTGAATTTTCTGAACAGGTTTTGAACCAACAACGACACAGAGACACAGAATTTAAATTTGAAAGGGCAAAACTGAGGGTGTAGTAAAACGCAGCGAACAGTCTTAAGGTTATTTTGACTAATGTATTTAGTAGTTTCAGTCTGTCTCTTCAATGGGACACTGCTAGGATGTATCAAAGCTACTGAGTCTTCCTTGAAACCTTATAGTTACTATACAGGTAATTCGCTGTTTTAAAACCTGACGCATTTATAACTGTCATTAAAAAGGTGTCCCTTGTACATAATCCTGAGTCATTTCAATTTATACTCCATACACTCATAAAATGGTTATCCAACATACATTTTAATATTTTACTTTAATCTAAGTCTCCTTCTCCTTCCGTCTTTGTACACGTTTCTCCCAGACATGCCGT